AGGGGGGGAAGGGTTTTAGGGGGAAGAAGGGAGGGGGAGAGGGTTGGGACGGCGGCGAAGAGGAGGGGTTGGGGAAGGGGAGAAGGGAGGATTTCTGGTCTGGTGGTTGAGATGGCCCGTGTGGGAGTGATGTGATGTGATGTGGTGTGATGTGATGTGATGTGATGTGATCTGATGTGATGTGATGTGATGTGATGTGATGTGATGTGATGTGATGTGATGTGTCAATTATTGGGGGGGAAGGGGGAGATGCAGAGCAGTTGAATAGTGCGGATATCGCCGCCGCCCAGCGGCGAACAAAACAACCACTCTTTCCCCCCACACACTACACACACACACACACGAACCGCGCGCAGGCATCACTGCCATCACGCATCTCATCTCTCTCGCGCGCGCGTCTCACGTTTGCCAAACGGTTCTGCGCCCCGGATCCCCTCCCGCCCTCCCTCCGGCCTACATTCCTGATTTCCCCCCCTTCCCCCCCCGAACACCGCACCTCCCATCTTAGGCACATCTTACACCATCGCACGTCGGCAGTGTCTTGACCCCGTTGCGTGGTCTTGCATCATTATCATTTTCGTTACCAATATCATCATCATCATCATCATCATCATCATCATCATCATCATCATTGTCATCATCATCATTGTCATCATCATCATTGTCATTGTCATCAGCATTGTCATCAGCATTGTCATCAGCATTGTCATCAGCATTGTCATCAGCATTTCCGTCGTCATCCTCACCGTATATCAGGACCGCCGCTGACCCCAGCTCTCAACCTTCTCCCACCCCTGACAGCCCCCCAAACCCCCTCCCAACCCCCCAACCCCCCTCCCAACCCCCCTCCGCAGGTCTCCGTACTCCGCGTGTTCTACATGCTGCTGTCCGACCCCGACCTGCGCTCCCCCAGCAAGCTGCCGTACTACCAGGGGGTCCTGCTGCTAGCCACCAGGGTGGTGAGGGGCCTGTTTAGGAAACTGGTGCCGGAGAGGTACGACAAGGAGGAGGGGAAGAAGAAGGGGGAGGAGGAGGGGACTGGAGGAGGAGATGGGGCGGCGGCGGCCGGGGCGGCGGCGGCGGAGGAGGCGAGGCGGAAGCGACAGCAGCGGCGGAAGGAGCTAGTGGGGGAGGTAGGCGTGTGTGTGTGTGTGCTTTGGGGGGTAAAGGGGAGAGGAAAGAGGGACAGGGAAAGGAGTGAGGAGGAAGAGGGCTTTTTGATGCGATGTATTTTATGCATGTGTATGTATGTATGTCTGCGAGTAAGGAAGGGAGGGATGGAGGGTTGCCGTGCTTTTCCTTTAAGCAGCGGGAGCGGGAAGGGGGACAGGGGGCTAGTGTCTGAGCTTGTACGGTCCGTTGCGCAAACCCCCCAACCGGGATGCCGACCAGTCACGCCTCCCTCCCTCCGCATGGAATGCCTCCTCCACCAGCAGCGGTGCAACACACAAACACACATACACACACGCGCACACACACGCACACACGCACATACACATACACCACAAGCAACATATCCCCGTGTCAAAGTTGTTCGGAAGCGCCCCCAAGGCGCTCCCATGAAACACGGGGTGTAACCTCGGCCACGTGTATGTATGTAATTGCCACACCTCATTTGTGTGCTGTACATATGTACGATGTGTACGGTTCTTTTTGGTCTCATGCCTCGAAGGACCCACGTCTGCTTGTGTCTCCCTTTCCAACCCC